AACTGGGACCAAGATAAACTTCATCGCACATTCAGGTATTTTTGTAAAATAAAAAAAAAGTTAATTACACTGGTATTAGTCGTGTTTGAATTAGTTTTATAAATGTTATATTTGGGGATGTATACTAAATCCTACCTGTGTATAATTCTGTGTTGAACTAGTTGCATAAATGTTATATATATATAATTGTAAATGTAAAATGATGTAGGGATGGCAATGCCTAAAGGAATGCAAGTAAGAATATAGGGATGATACTTAATTTTACTATTACTGCAGTTGTAACTGTTGTTATACAGGTTGTTTATCATAATATCATGGTCATGTCAGGGTAGGCATCAATGTAGTGTAACTAAGAGCCTAGGACTTACGTACAAGGAAAACCAAGATGAGTCAAAACATGTCTTGATTGTTATAGACTATTACAGACTTGATGTGACCGACCTCGTAACCATTTTCTACTTTTGCATTTTACAGTGTATCATTAAATTTTAATATCGAAAGTCATGTAGGGATGATCTATGTATAACTGTATCATCCTTATATTCTTGTTTACATTCGTTTTGGCACTGCCATCCCTTCATCATTTTACATTTACAAAATGTTTTTTAACACTAGTTTTTGACGTTCCCCATGACTGAAAGTTAGTGTATTCTATGAATTATATTATATTTATTTATTTATTTATTTTTTCTCCTTAACTTCATACTTAATATAGGGGTTGGCTCCCTGAAAACACCGATTGTATAGTGTACAATGCATTGATTATTCTACATGTTATAGTCATCTAATGTTTATCTATTATTGGCTGGTAATTCCCTTTTCACCCTGTACTTAAGTTTTTTAAAGGAACACCAAATTGTTGTAAGAAAGCTAACTTCAAGGGGTAATGATAACACCTTTTACACTAGAATTATGATTTTTTTTTAAAATTACTACTAGTTATTAATAATACTTATGAAAGCGGATAATCCGTTGGAAAATATGTCACCTCGGTGAAATTGACTGACACCATTGTTTTGGTTTTTGAGTTATCATGTAATATAAAAAAAGAAGCAGCGGAAAGAGAACAATAAATTTAAACTTCTTGCTGTGATATTTACAGACAATTCCAGAACTTGTGACTCCGTCATTACATAGATATTGTTATAAAATGAAACACCGTATAGTATTGTAAAGTTCTGATGACCTATTGAGAATATGTTTAAAATACCATTTCGATGAACAATCCGAGCCATCCCTACATGACCAGTGTTACCGCCTGCCTGATATTTAAAGATGTTTACTAAATCCTACTCGTGTATAATTCTGTGTTGGACAAGTTACATAAATGTTATATATATAAAGATGTTTACTAAATCCTACTCGTGTATAATTCTGTGTTGGACAAGTTACCTAAATGTTATATTTGAAGATGTTTACTAAACCCTACCTGTGTGATAAACAACAACACGATTGCTATTTATATGATATGAAACAATTAATTCATTATTCAATTCTCAATAGACTATGATCACAACATGAGAGTCTGGTATTTTTCTTATGACCATGACATACGAGTCTTGCTATATTATAAAACATCCTCCATAGAATACACATGCAGAACAATGAGGTTGGATAATACAATGTGTGAGTTAAGATAGAAGCGATACTTGTTTTTATATACTATAAGAGTTTTAGCAAATGTAATAAGCTCTTTTTTGTGCTTTGAGTAATGTTTCTAAGATGAAGTTACGGTTTTTTGTGATATAATTTAACTGAATATTCTCAATTTGTAAATTAGAATATTTGATTAAAACAGTTAGCTGAACAATAGGAGCAGTGTGGTGGCTTCAGTTCATATCTTTAACAATCAACGAATTTTATTATTTTTTTGCAAAGAGTAATAGTAAAACAAATAATTAAATGGTAAATGTCAATTATGCCAAGCTTTTATTTTTAAGCATTATTATTATGTTAATTTTGTAAGATAAATCGATAAAATAGATTAAATTTACGTTCAGTGTTTAAAGATTCAACAAAAACATCGAGAAAGATTAAGCTACATGAAATTGTAAATAATACTTTTAAGACGACAATTATTAACATTATGAAAAGTGTTAGCTTACTTATCTTGTAAGGAAAGCGAATCTGGAATAGATAAAAACGGCTCGTAGAATGGAGAGTGTTCGGCTTTCTTCTGAATGAGATCAAACTGCTCGGGAACTCGCTTCTGAATACGTAGGGAATGAAAAATAATTTGATATTCTGAATATGCACGTAACTAAACTGAACTGTACTTGTAGATCTCAATTTTAAACTTAATCTTAAATTATTCTTGGAACTTATGATTGAGAAATACATTTAACAAAACTTTATACAAAACCAATCAAATTAAAAAAAATGTATCGCATTAAAAAATTGGAGATCTAAAACTAAATCCAAGATAAACAAAATAATAAGAGTTATTAAGATGTGTTATATCGATAAACAGAGCCCTCTTGTAAATATATAAAATTTATGAATTTAGTCCAGTTAGAAAAAGTCAACTTCTCTGAAAATAGGTGAATTAGGCAAGGTTCATTTAGGACTATCGTATCATATCTTCCTGTTTTTTCACAATTTCAAACATAACATGTACTCCACAGTAGGAAAGCACTTCTGTTATTGTGTTTTAACTCGCTTAACTTGTACGTTTTTTGAATTTGACTCTTTTTTTTCATACATTTCAAATACTATAGTTGCATGCCACTTTTTAATACGATTGTATTACAATGTTCAATTTAAAACAAAAAAGAATTGGGCTAATGTATTTTTACAATGGAACAGAATGTATGTTTTCAGAACACTGTAGGTACATCACTAAACGAATGTGAGTTAGGCTTAACTTTCTGCTCTATAATATGTAAGATCAAGGTTTGATTGTCAGAGGATTTGTTTAGAATTGTAAAATAAAACGCTTAACTGAAACAAACCTCCATAAGAAATGTTTTGGTTTAATAGAATTCATACACCGTGTGAGTGTGTGTACATATATATAATGCAGCTATGACAATAGTTTAGGATTATGTGTGGCTGGAGGTTAGCATGACCGGATTATGACAAGCTTGGGGGTTATCGGCCGCTAACGGTTAGCATGCCCGGACTACGATACGTTCGTCTTCTGTATGGTTTTCTTCTTTAATGAGAGCAAAAATGAGGAAGAACTTTGCCAATTTTGAAAGCCTGTTCTTAAAATATAGCAAAAATTATTTTATTTTTTCAATCTGAAAGGTAAAATATTGGAACCAGAAACGTAAGAAATGACAATTAAATATCCGTAATAAATGTGGCATTATCTTAGATTTAACAAAACGTTTGGATTTTATACATAGTCAGCATAGCTTTCCTCTCTCCTTCACTTTATCTTATCTTAGAAATATCGACAAAATAAAACATGCTTGTGTTTTTATCTTTCCATATCAGTATTATAACATTACCATAGAGATAGCATGGTTTGTTCGACCTTGGCGAATTGCTTCCGTCAATAAAACATGTGTTTTCATCTTTCCATATCAATATTATAACATTAACAAATACTTTACCATAGAGATAGCATGGTTTGTTCGACCTTGGCGAATTGCTTCCGTCAATAAAACATGTGTTTTCATCTTTCCATATCAGTATTATAACATTAACAAATACTTTACCATAGAGATAGCATGGTTTGTTCGACCTTGGCGAATTACTTCCGTCAATAAAACATGTGTTTTCATCTTTCCATATCAGTATTATAACATTAACCAATACTTTACCATAGAGATAGCATGGTTTGTTCGACCTTGGCGAATTGAAATATCGACAAAATAAAACGTGTTTTCATCTTTCCATATCAGTATTATAACATTACCATAGAGATAGCATGGTTTGTTCGACCTTGGCGAATTGAAATATCGACAAAATAAAACATGTGTTTTTATCTTTCCATATCAGTATTATAACATTACC